GAGATCATATACCGGTTATCGAGCGTCCATGGTCGTCAAACCAAACAGCAGTGTTTCCATAGTCTTTATCTTTTGACTAAGTTCCCCTTCCAACTTCGGCTGAAATACTGTTCTGAAGCGACCCAGAAATACCTACCAATGTGCAAAGATCTGAAAACCGAAAATAACGGTGGAAAATGCAGTTACTTCATTGTCTCTGTGTCTCCTTACATTTCGTTGACCAATGTTGGACTCCATAATTCTTTTTCAAGAAAATGCCATTTTCAAGTCCCCAGTGCTGACTTCAGCTTTTGTATCCCATTTTCTCCTCTCTTACTCTTCCGCACATACAGTCGGGTCATTATGGGATTGCGTTAATTAATAACGTTTTAATACGAATTAGATGTAGATGCCCATGGGCGTCTTACCCGCAATGGCGGCAACCCAAACAGTTAATCTTGTAAGCGACAAAACGCTTAGAGGATAGTTGGACGACGCGTTGCCAACCAAACTGCGGCCTCCGAGATCGATTCAACAAGCGACCAAAGAACCGGAACTGAGGCAACCCCACCGGTAACAGCAAAAAAGGCCACAGTCGTTGAACTACGGTGTTCAACGGTATCCTCACAAACTGGGTACACAATGAACGATCACGACAACGGGCAACCAGTTGCTGGTTCAATCACAGTGCGACTAAAGCCCAACACACTGGAGGTATACTAGCCTCGGCCGGGACGAATCAGGGCGCATGCAGTCTATAACCAATCACAAAGGGGTTAGAATCAGTCTAGGGGGAAAGCATCGAAGCTGTGAATGCAGACATGGTTTGTCCCAGAGCTAGGACAGACATTGGGGAGAACGAAGTGAGTCAGTCGGAATTGAACAGAGTGAGAGGGCCGATGCGCAAATTAGACGTCTAGGTGCGAGGTGAACAAAAAGTAATCAATAGGGTAGACGACAAATCATGGGCGGATTGATGTGAAGGAGCACTAGTCAGGTTAACAAAGAACACACATGAGTAGCTGTCAGGTGCGAAAAGTAACCGATTTCGAAAGTGATTGTAAAAAGAAGCAGGGACATGGGGAAAATTGGATGGGGAATTGCTCCAGGGGTGTAGCGCTGGCACTTGAGCAAATTGTCCTTTACAAATCTTATTGCCTGTTTTTTGTTGGTAGAACATGATACAGGGGCTCATTTGATCCATAGTTGAATGCAATTATGCAGAATATAATAATAACATTATTTGTTATGTCCCTTCAGGTTTATATACGCTTATATGACATGCGAAAAACTAAATGAACAATGACGTAAAATATGTCAGTGGGTCAATTTAGCAGTAAGATGGGCACTCGGTAGCTTATTTTCATGTATGAAGCAGGGGGGCGAATGCAAAACTGTCGAGGCTACTATTTTGAGTGGAAAATGGATCATAGTGGAAAATATATGGGTGGGCTTCTTACCCCTAGTAGGCGTCTTACCACACTCTACCCTATGCTCAGATACCATCTTTCAGCGATTGGCACTGACGCTGTGCATCTGTTATGCACCACACAGGTATCCGGACTCCTTTTATGCCCATAGCTAGATCTCCTAAATGAGCTTGCGCTGCCTAAATGTTAGTATCTTGCTAGAGCTCTCGACCTGCTATCGAATTCCTTACCATGTCTTTTTTGTTGCTCTTCAAATCCTGCATCGCAGTGAACAACTTCGCGCGGGAAATGAGCATTGGTGTATTCACATACGAAGTACAGGACTTGTCGGCTTCCGCTCTTGGATTATCTTCAATCGAATCCAGGTCGATTCGCAACGAGGTTAAGGGTTTGTCATATCTGTCCTAGTGTGCAACTACCCATACTAATTAAGTGTATTGGTGGGGCAAAACTTTACTACTCAAGGCAAAAAGTATGCCTGTTGAACACCAGTTTTGTGAGACTGGTTGACTAGGACAACTGATACTTGTGCAACACCGCTCATTTCCGTTGAAGTCACCAAGTGAGCAATTCACAAGCACCTTATTCAGTGGCCGTAATTGACTTTCAATCGCTGTAGCGGATCTTTTGCTGATGCGGAGCCCTATTTTGGTTAAATCACGTCCACCAAAGACGCACAAACTTCAGTATGTGGTTGCCTGATACAGTGTCTGGTTGGGGGACACAATTTAAGTAACCAAGGACCATGAGAAAGGTTGTTAAGAAATTGTCGAAATACTTTCGTCCAGCTGATGTACACCGTCTTCCCACAAACGCAGAGATCGGTCATCTCATCCATCAGCTGCAGTATCGGATAACGAGCGAAAACGAGGACACTTACATTCTGGCACTCGGTTTTCGTCACGTTTAACTCTCAGCTCTTCTGTTCGATTACCAGGTTTCCTCTATCTCTTTCCACCGAATCTTTTTTCTATTTTTCAAACTTATTTCTCCCAACTGGTCGCATTCGAGCTCTGCAAACCATTCGACAGTAGACTACTACCAAAAGCATATGCCGCCGAACGTCATCAGTTGGCAGAGTTGGTGCCAGTGAGTAGCTGATCAATGTTGGGCATGAAGTTTTTATCGAGTTGAGTGCCGACTACGCACCCTGACCTTACTTACGTGAACACGTGTATGTTCAATCTACTGAGCCATGAGTAAGTAGTATTGACGAATGCTGGCAAGAAACAGCAATCGACTGAATGTGGTTGAACTACCAATCCAGTGGAATTTTGACTTATATGGCATAATAATTACCAATAGTGCTTATCTGTGAAATGCCCCGTAAACGATCCTTGTAGTTGTAGGCACTCTTGTGATTACAATTTGCACGTTCACATTAGATTGGCCCTGTTGCTCATAAAAGCTTTTCTCCTTACAAACGACATACCTTTTACCACTGACCATTGTTTCTTGTAGTACACGTGGCCTGGCCCCTTAAGGCGGTCTCTTTGCATGCGCACATGGTTCACAACACCATTTAGTTCTCGCCACCATTCGTCGCTACACAATGCAACTTATGTTATAGTACCGACATGAGATGTTACCCATGTCTACTGGGAGGGATTTGCCTTAGGTCGTCGGTGCATGCACAGCATTGCCGACATCTGGTGTCCACACAAACTAAGTAGTACGGAGGCACACTAGTTAACTGATGATATTTTGCAAAGTCTTTAACCGGCAGACAAAATGTGGATAATTATGACGCATGTGTCCAGTGATAACGCGTGTACACACGTGTGTGTGTGTGTGTGTGTGTGTGTGTGTGTGTGTGTGTGTGTGTGTGTGTGTGACTACATAGAACCTGCTCAGCATTGTCAATGCATTCCCGTTCCATACAGAGCTGTTGACTCTTAGCCAGATACCTTTAATCACCGGTTGCGCACATACCCAGTAGTGCTTCACCCAGCCGCCCATTGGTAATTGGAGCTTATGTGTATCCCAATCACCTGGATGACATGTGTAGCCAAGTCACCGATTGTTTGCCTATCACGACTTGACAGGGCAGGGTCTACGATGCCTGTGTTCGCACGGTCCTATTGTACAGTAGTGAGTGCTGGCCGATCCGTGCAAACGATTTGCGTCGGATTTCGGCCTTTGACAACGGTTGTCTGCGGAGGATAGTTCCTGTGTGGTGGGAACACCACGTTTGTAACGACGATGTTAGACGTCGCGTGCTGGGCGATACGAGCCTCCCTTTTGGTAAGCTAATATCACTGCGCTAATTGAGGTGGCTTGATCACGTCCTACGCATGCGGTGCAAGCGTTTACCACGGCGCGCTCTACCCGCTCACGTAGGGTCGCACTGAAAAACATCGCGCGGTGGTCAACTTACCATATGACAACAAAATGTCAAAGCATTGAGTTCCAGTCGAGCTGTTATCCGTCCCGTACGTCTTCTGGGCTGGAAGAGTCAGATATGAAGAACATCACTGATTGAAGACTACTGAGGACACGACGCATACTCAGAGTCAATGGAAGGTTTGCATAAGTCTATGCAATGATTCTACTGATTAAAACCGTAATCACTTAACTGACAAAAAAGCGAAAACAGCATGTGCAAAACACAAAAAGTTTTTCTAAATATTTTCCATTTTTTGATCATTGTGTGGTTGGCGGTATCCGGATTCGGATTTACCTGTCACTGTGGCCAGCCACAGGACGCCTGCGCCTACAGAGGGACCATGGGTGGCTTGCGCTGCACCACCCACAGCTCCAACCACACACCCCGTATCCAGTGTAAACCCGAAGGAATAAGACCGGGAGGCATGCGGATGGGAACCACGTTTCATCAACGGAGCCGGCCCACACTCCTTCACAGGCAAACACAAGCACGCTGTAGTTGGGGAATCAAGCGCACACAAGGCGGTGGCTGGATCGTAGTCCGCTGCACGCTGAGTGCATGGAACCGCTCTTTGAGCCTAGCACGGCCACAAGGACCGTGCACCCTGTCCCCTCCAGCAACGTATAACTCTCTCCTGGAGCCAGTATGGACGAGGTAGTGGGTAATAGACAGGTAGGCACTTTGTCAACATGCACGTCAAGCGCAGCCACACCGGGGATATCAATCAACAGCCATTCAATTTAAACGACAAGCTGAAATAAAATAAATCCAATAATGCATACAGATACGGTAGCATAACTTTTCCCTAAATTACCATATGAAGTAAGTTGGTTAGCAAAGAGTCCGCGATAAGTAAGAAATGTCCACAAGTTACCTAAAAATGCTCCAGATCATTGTATATATATATATATATATATATATATATATATATATATATATATATATATATTTCACTAGCTACGTGTCTTTTCGCTCCTACGTCGAGTTAGCCACTTTCTTATCCTTCAACGCGCATAAGTAGTCCAACGTACGTGAAGTACTTGTTTAATCCGTGTGTGATTAGCGGATGGAAGTGCCGGACGAATTTACGTCCTTATGATCATTCAGCCAGATACGGTATCAGGTTCATCTATCTAATGCACTTATATTGACTGGATCATGGTCCACGTTCACTTGTTTTGACTGAGGATTTCTTTCTTTTCCAGGTCAGAGCACAGGGAGTTGTTGGCTGTGTTGGATTGGAACCAAAAACTGTCGTTGTATCAGCCAACCGGAAAACAGGTATGTCATTTGAATCAGTCCCTCATCCATCGCATTCGCCAGCATGACCATGTGTATAGCAAAGCGAATTACCACTCCCTATTCCATAGGTTGTTAAAGGCCTGGGGAGCCACTCGTATTGGAGAATGGTGTGGAAATTTATGTGATGTGTCATGACGAGGTCACGAGGTCCAGGCTACAACCCAATTATGTGGAAAGCGGGTGCTCACGATAGGGAGAGGTTGGGTTCAGATTTGGACAACCGATTTCTCTAATTCATTCAGGTTCACTAGTTCAAAGGCGTCAGCGCGCAAGTTGCAATTAATTCATCAGTGCGATGGATTCTGTTACAGTGCTATGCAATCTGGATAAGAGCATATTTCCGAGAATTTGTTACTGTCTTTCAAGTCCGAGTTATTTAGTTACCTCAGTTAAATTAGCATGGAACGTCTCCACTAGGAAAAAAGGATTTTGTGAAAATAGTCTGTGACTGAATACGAGCAACATATGCGTGCCTCTCAAACCGACTGCCTCGGACCCCGGTACTACAACAATATTAATACCGTAGTCGCCTTTGACAGATATGCTGTTTGTTCCACTTCAGTATCACAGGCAACGAGTAACGAAGACTTCCCGGCAGTGGCGCGGCAACTACTTTTACCGCCCTGAGCGGTGGTTATATTTTCGCACTGAATAAGGACAGAATAGGTGCGCGAAGGCCACACCATTGGCTCAGGGTACAGTGCACATTAGTGTTCGATGAAATGGATAATCCTTTGCAACACTAAATGTGCTGAAAACGACCACAAGGTGATAAGCAAGGGTGTTGTCGGGAAGAACGTTTACATAGGTGTGCTATGTGGCGCAAATGCTTTATGGTCTTCGACCCAGCTTATGCAGATATTTTGCCCTTTATATTATATCAAACAATCGCCGGTATTAAAAATGCCGCCCCCTGTCACCTGCGGCCCGGGGCGTACCGCTTCGTCCCCTATGCTGCACCTCTGCTTCCCGGTTGTATATAGCGCATCATGACAAAATTGCGAGAAACCGTTTGAATTTAGCTGGGGTATACACAAGCCAAAGTACTTTGTTACCCAACGGTGACCTGCTTGTGTGTCGAATGAGTCGCCAAACGATCACGGTATTAGGCTTCGGTCACACACTACCGGGTTGCTAGTGCACTTAATTTATGCTGACCATGACAGACGCGATCACCAAGACTGAATCACCTGATAAGAGGACAATGAGGGACGAGTCCGTTCTTGTACGCCCCTTGTTGCTATAGTTACTAGTGTAATGGCGACCGTCTATGTCGTGATCAAACTCTACCCCAAATATGTATGGTTGGCGGCATCCGGTTTCGGATTTGCCTGTCACTGTGGTCTCCACAGGACACTTGTACATACAGTGGGACCATGGGTGGCTTGCGCTGCACCACCCACAGCTCCATCCACACACCCATATCCAGTGTAAATTCGAAGCAATAAGACCGGGAGGCATGTGGATGGGAGCCACGTTTCATCAACGTAGCCGGCCCACACTCCTTCACAGGCAAACACAAGCACACTGTATTTGGGAATCAACCGCACACAAGGCGGTGGCTGGATCGTAGTCCGCTCCACACTGTGTGCATGGAACCACTCTTTGATCCTAACACGGCCACAAGGGCCGTGCACCCCGTCCCCTCCAGCAACAACCACCTGTCTCCTGGAGCCAGTATGGACGAGGTAGTGGGTAATAGACAGATAGGCACCTTGTCAACATGCACATCAAGCGTAGCCACATCGGGGATGTAAAGCAACACCCAATCCCATGGAATGCTATAAACGATAACATAGGTTGAAAACACCATAGAGATATACAGCTAAATTAGCACAATATAAATGGATTATCAACATAGCCGCGATAAATTGAAGATGGCAAATAAAGAGAACAAAAGCATTAGCAGAATGGAGAAAACATACGAAGTTAAGCACCTTTCGTTTTAGCGACATTTGTAACTTACTAGACTACTTAGGCAGACATTAAAGTGAGGTAAGAAACTAAGCATTAAGACAAGCTAACAAACCCACCACCTAAAACAAAGGAACTCAGCACGCAAGCAGGCAGTTATTAAATCGAATGCAGCGTACTTACCAACGCTGCGCCGGTTCTGCTTACGTTCTCAGCAGGACCCGTCATCGCTTCGAGGTAGGTCCAGAGTGGCCTCGCTCGTGGCTAACTAGTCCTGCCTGACTCAGGCACTCGCGACCGCATATGCTACAACACCATGCACTCGAGGTCGATGGAGTACACCCCATCGGAGCCTGTCGCTTCCACGACTGCCGCCCCTTTTTCGCATGCACGAGGGCTTTCTCTTGTACCTCGGCAACTGCCTTCGTGATCAGATCGCGCCATGCACGCCGATCAACCGCCTTCGATCCCCAACGCCTGTAATCAACAGTAGAACCTGATAAGCTCAATTTGATCATTTCCTGTTAACGTAAGTTTGGTTTTCCCAAATACCGATTTCATGCAGTCAGTTGGCCATACAACAGCTCTTTATGCATCCGCGTCGAATCTATACGCCACACATGACCGAGCCACCTCAATTGTCTCAGCAATAGTATGCAGTTCACTGCATACATTCCACTTCGGCGTAACACCTTTGTGTCTGCAAGCCTATCGCACCAACCGATGTGCAGAATCCGTCGCAGATACGCCACCTATGTATGCACAGCTAAGTTCATGCATACTCCGGCAGCATACTAACGAGTCGGGGAAAATATGTAGTCATTCATCACATTTAAACTCACTCAGTCATCGCACGCCCGGAAATGCACTGCACGACCGTTTCATCCTGTCGCGAATCGTCAGTAGTGTGCATTGCATCTGACCGTTGTGGGTAGGGCTCGTGCCAGCACTGTTGTGTCACCGCCAACCGTTCACATCCCACGACCACAAAGACAACCCGAGGACGAGCCAGGGCCGAGTTGTATACATTAGAATTCTGCTTCACTTGGCTAGTGTGCAGCAGTGGATGAGGCAATGCTACTGAAAGACTTTGGCGCGAACGGACAACGTAGGATACATTGAATAATACAGGTGAAAGGGAAGTGGTGAAAGTATGAACGAATCACGCGTGTTCCATGTAACGGTATCAGCGCAAATGGGGCTCAGAGATGACATCCATTACGAATGATGTAGGTCGGCCAATCAAAGCAAAGAAATGACCCATTTAATTAGATGTCAAGAAACAAACGTTAGCAAAACAAAAGCAAGAAACTCAGAATTGTCACAAAAATAGATTTCCAATGCGCCTCCTCCCAACACGTAACTCAACTGTTGCCAGTCTGCTTGAGACCACCTAGCAACGGGGACGGCAAAGACCGTCGTGACTGTTACTACAGTGTGTTTTGTTAATCATGTCCGAAGCTAGGAGCGACTGCACACTGGTGCTGACGTACCCCGATACGCTGAATTGCTAACTGTCAGATGGCTAAAAGTTCTTTGCCGGCAGGGGTGAGATAGAGCACAGAGGCGCGACATGTGTGTCTACGATCGTAGGGCACGCTGAGCCGTTCGGCTGTGAGCACTGAAAGTTATCCAGACATTACAGCCACAAGGAATATGTCATGCCTCGACCGCAGGGCAAGACCAACGGAACGCAGGCCGTTCGGCTGTGAGCAATGGACGTTAGCCAGACATCACAGCCGCATTGAATGTGTCATGCTTCGATCGATTGATAGTCAGACTTCACGCAGGTGAGAACGCCAGCAAAAGCGTTCCCTGCAAAGTGGTTAGTGGGTCACTGTGCCAGCAATTGAGAAACACAGTCTGGGAGTACCTGTGTACTGCTCGATGGGCGCCGTATTGCTATCGCAACAAAAGTTGTTATCGCCTCATGACTGGCTTCCAACAAACCCGTAAGCTTTTATGAGGCTGCTTTCGCTGCTAAAGAGTGTCACCATGCCGGGAGCTCACTGCAAGGTTACAGTGTTGTTCGCTTTACCGTTTCCATCGTGTGTGTGTTACAGCTGAAAATTCACCCTTCATGGGTACATAAAAACAAATCCTTGACTTGAAGACGTGACGATGCTCTTGGATTTCAGTCTGCATTACCGGATACGGGAGAAACTCATACGTGCTGTGGAACGCCAGTCACTGTTAGTGACAACTCACAAGTATCCCCATAGGAAAACTCCATGGGATTCAGAACCGGTGATCACACAGGCCATTCTATCGGTCCTCCGCGACCGGTTCAACGTTCACCGAATGTCTCGTTCAGGTAGTATCACAACTGGACTCTAACCGCAAGTACGTATTTCAACTAGTAGCGAATAAGCAAGAAGACGCGTCAGTCTGGCACGTAGTATACTGAACACTTAACGGTTTACCTGTGAGCACTGGACGTTAGGGTGTGTCCTTGAGTGCGTGTGTGCGTGCTTATCTACGTGTGTGTGTAGGGCCAATCAGGTTCACGGTCATAGTGAGCGATCATTGGTTGAACACGTAACAGTCCTCCCTGTTTTGGCTGACGTTACAGTCATGGCTGAAAACGTTCGATCGGTTTGCGAATCCGGGTCGATCGGCGTACTTGAGTTTCCCCTGTCGTTCTGTGTTCGTCGTGCTCTGCAGCTTGCTCTGTGATCTCCGAGTGTGACTGACTCACGGCAGGTGTGTCAGTGCTCCTGGGGCGTACATGATCTGAGTGCCGGCGAACAACCCGGCCGTCCGGAAGCTGCAAATCGTTTTGACTTCCTGAAGAATCGAGCACAGTCGCCGGCTGCCAACATTGTTCATGCGGTAACCTGGTGTAAACAGGTTGATGGTCCTGAAATGTAACTCTCGGCTTTGATTCCTCTGAAGACACACACTTTTTCTGACGCTCCTGTACTTCAACACGCGGGTTCGGGAACAACAAATGAAGCCTCGTTCTCAGATTTCTGCCGAACATCAATTCCGCCGGGGATTTCCCGGTAGCCTCAGTGGGTGTAGAACGGTAGGAGAATAGGAACCGATCCAGTTTTGTTCGCAAT